CCTCAGACCACGGATCCTATTAGTCACACTACAACCCTTAATGCATGCATGAAAGTACTTTGTATTTTTATCACCATGAAGGAGTTACTGTGTTTTAGCTATTGTTTCAACTGAATTTCTTCCAATTCTAGAATGTTATTCCGTTCCACTTTAAGGCAATCAATTTTTGTTTTCGAAACCTGCTCATAGCGTTCATCCAAAAGCTGCTTAATCAGATTCTTTCGTGAGTGCAAAGCTCTATTCCTGTCTCGACTCCATCTCTAAATCTCTTCTACACAGTTCCATTTTTTATCCATACCAGACCCATGAAATTCGATTGCCGTCCTCTTTGAATGGCCTACTCAAAAGCTACTTCAAGAACCCAAGAATTATCAAACCTGAAAATTCTAGTCCCCCAAAATTGTTTTTCTACAACCGAATCATATAGCATCGGATGATGATCTGATACTGGCATTGGCAGGCAGGAAGTGTGGCCATCATAAAATAGATTGCACCATTCTGAGTTAGCAAAAGCCTGGTCCAGTTTTTCTTTGATACTAACGCAACCTTCTCATTGCTGCTCCCACGTAAATTCATAACCCAACCAAGGTGTTTCAACCAACCAACAGTCAATGATTGCCTCTCTAAAGCCCTGCAATAAATACAGCGGTTGTTCCAACCCCTTTGCTTTTCTTTAGCTCTAAAAATATCATTAAAATCGCCCAAACAAAATCTAAGGGTTGTCATCTCAAGCAGCTAGAGCCCGAAGAAGGTTTCACGACACTCTCCTACGATTTTGCTCTGGACATCCATAATACCCAGTAACACAAACTACCCAATCCTCCACCAACACATGGCAATTAATAAAACATTTTGAGTAACCCATTACCTGTAGCTTCATATCATTGTTCCAAAACACACAAAGTCCCCCACCCCTGCCAATCCTACAAACCTCACTGATCTTGCTTTCTTGAACCCAAGTCTCCAACAAAAACACTACATCCAGCTTATAGTTCAAGATAATCTCCTTGAGCATTCAAACTGTTTGAGGGTTGCCAATCCCTAAACAGTTTCATCTTAGAAGTCTCATTTCTTCCGACTGTTCTGCTTCACAGGAGTAGCCGATATAGAATTTATAATAACTTCAGTTTAATCCTTGTTATGAGAAAAATTTGAAGATTGTAAAAGCACACTTCCTAGGTCTTTTTTTCCTATCCTCTTTATTAACGAAGGGTTCATTCTCATAAGTAATGAGTATTTCTCTTCCTAGTCCTAGATTCATAATGTCTAAATCCATCATCCCTTCTCTCCCCATATCATTAAACCCTACTAAATCTCCCTTCATATAAAAGCTTTCCCTAAATTCCCTATGCTTGTTATTGGGTGCAAAGAAAAGACTACTCCTTTACAAACCCTCCTCCCTCGCCTCTTGTCTCTCCTTCC